TAAACACAGACTACTACTAATTACTCTATTACTAAGGAACATTTTTGCTAGTAAGATTGTAAAAGGACTAGATAATAGTACTAAAGTTTTAAATAAAGTATTAGTAGTAGTTTACAAACCTAAAGAATACTTAAACCTGTTTCAGGTTCTAAGGTTGTAACTAGTTCTAAACTACAGTTACCTTTACTAAATCTATACAGACCTCTCCTCTACTAATTACAAAGCTTAGATAATCTACTAACTCCTGTGTAAAAGAGTACTTTACTTTTTAGAGGAACAGTTTATTATTTTAGAGCTATTATAGAACTACTTAGATTAGTTAGTAATAATACTTGACTGTCTGAGTAAAGATTAGAATGTTGTTTAGATACACACTAACATACTCTGAGTTAATCAAATCTGTAAGAATGTGATTTATAAATAACTAGAACATTGTAAGTAAGTTAGTTAGTCTAAAGAACATTATAGTTAGTTTGTACAATCTATAATTAGTTTAGAACACAGTCTTCTACTCATCTCTGTCTTAGATCTGAATATTATTATACTCTTACTAAATGTCTAACTTAGTAAAAACTCTGAATGTATGTGTCTTATTAATGAGCTCCTAAATTAGAAGGAGTAAGTACTTGTTTTTAACAGTACTCTTATTAAGACAATAATAATTCTGAACTAGGTAGAGCTTTCTATCTTTCTTTTTGACAAAGAAGAAAGGAGAGACTATAAGGGACTTTAAAGGTCAGATCTAGCTGTTCTAAAGATTTTCCTAAAGAAACTCATTAAGTACCTCCTACTTGTCTCTGTTAAGTAAGTAGACCTTACAATCCTTAAGTTAGAAACTCTTAGTCAATTCAATTACATAATTCTAAGAACAGTGTTTAAGAAGCTAGTTAAATTCCTCTTTACTAAAGACTTTAAGAAACTCTCAGACAAAATCTGACAGGTTGGGTTTATGTGTGTTCTAGAGTAGAGTTATTCTGAGAGGGTTCTAAACTTGTTCTGTCTTAAACATTCTTTAAATCAACTCTGTTCTGTCTTAACTAGAATATGTGTTTACATATTTATTCTAGTTAAAGAAGAACAACTAGTTACTTTTATTAGAACTGTTAGTAACATTAGAAGTGTCTGTATTTACTTAGAACAGTAGTGTAAGATAATTGTAAGACTTAGAACACTAATCAAACACAAGTGTTTACTCTAACTAGTTAATAGTAGGGTTGTAAGCCTTGAGTCATTTGAATCTAATAAAAACATTTGTCTTTCTAAGATTAGTAACTCTAAACTTAATACTTTCCTTATAATCCTAAATAGTCATTTATAGTTAGACAAACTTAGTAATCTGACTATTCTAGTTTAGAGTTCTGTCTACATTATATACTAGGATTAGAAGTAGAATGTGTTAAGTAAAAAGGTAGTGTTCCTGTATAAAGGCCTTATTAATATACAAACTAGTATACTTACTGTTTACTAGAACTATTGTTTGAATCTGAAGAGATTCTAAGAAGGGAGCTAAGAGGACAGAGACTTAGAGCTAGTACTTAGAACATTCTCTAATAAACTACTACTTGTTCTGAAAGGAACATACAGTTTGTACAGTCTTATTATCTAAGAGAGTAAGTATATACACTAACATTTCCTTATTAACCTCTCTCTTTCAACAAGGACAGACTTATGTTCTTAACTGTAAACTTAGTTAAGACTATCTCTACTTAATACTATAGACAAACTACTGAGTAGTAAACAGGGCTAGGTAGTGTTTTAAACATTCTAAGATTTTAGAACACAAAAGTAGTAGGTTGGATTGTACAGATTTAGACTTAGATAAAGTGTAAAGAGAAGAATCAAAAGAATTAGAAGGAATAAAAGAACTATCTACCTTTGTTTTCAACTTTTTTCTTTTTAATAAATAATTTTGTTAATTTACTTTTTCTACTTTTCTTACTTTATTTACTTCTAATCCTACAGTGTTTATTAAATCAAAAGTAACTGTTAAAAAATCTGAGTCATAGCTCTTCAGTACTGTATTTACTGTTAAGCTTCTATAAAATTCTAGAGTATATAGTCAGAGTTTAAGAGTTCTAAGGTGACTTTCAGATTTGTAGAAAAAGCTTCTTACTACAAATCCTACTTGTTACTCATTATTACTCTAATAATCTAACAAATATACTGTTACTTCTGTAAACAGTTCTTAATCTAGTGTTTAGACTTTCTGTAAGTAAAGTATACTCCTTACTTTCAGGCTTCTCTAATGTTTATTAGAACAAATTGATTACAAATTATAGGTGGATCAATCTGAGAGATTAGAACTGTTAGAGTCAGATGTATGTAAGAGTGTTTTATACAGACTTAGTGTATCTAAACTGTAGCCTAGTTAAAGGAGATAGTACAGGTCTTTTACTTAGTATAAGTAGTTAGTTCTAATGTTACTCTAAGAATCTTATTAACTAGTTCTAAGTAAAGAGCTTTCTTAAGTATTCTAATAAGAACATTATTAAACCTGTTTGTAAATCCTACCTTCTAGGCTAGAATATTAAACTCCTAAAAAAAGATATTAGTAGAATGTTTACTCTACTAAAGAGACAAAAGCTTATTCTGAGTGTTACACTTCTTATTCAGGTTAATAAAGGAAGCTCAAAACTGTCTTATGAATTCCAAATATGACTCATTATTCTGAAGTCAGATCAGACTTCTGATCTAATAACTTTCAATCCAGTTCTAAGCCTAAATGGTTATATTACCTTCTTTTATAAAGGAGAGGACAAATAGAACACAATTAAGATCTAAGAATAGATTAGTTAAAGTAGTAACTATGTATAACTCAACTTAGTACTAGAAGTTCTTAAAGTACTACTTATTAAAGTTTAAAGGGTAGACTATATGTACTTTCTTTCTAAAACAGGTTGTAACTTTTAGAAGGGTTAGAACAGGTTCTAATTAGACTAGGAGCACATAGTTAGTAAAGGCCTCTTAAATAGAGGTTTGTATATATTAAGTTAGGTCTACTTACAACTACTAATCTAGTAGGACAGTAAGAGTAGTAGTTGGTTTAGAAGGGTTTATATTTATACTATAAAGGGGTTAACACTAGACTAAAAGAGGGTAATAAATAGAAGAAGAGTAGTAAAAGTTTAAAATTTAAAAATGTAAAAGGGTTAGGACAAAGAAAAGAGATTGACACAATAGTAAGTACTAATACCTAAAATGTAAGAGAGTTGTAGAGTAGTAATAAGTAGTCTTAATCTAATGTTAGTAACAGTATAGAGGGGACTCAAAGGCTTAACAAGAGGACCCAAACTATAACTATTCTACATAATAAAAATACAGAATACAAGTACTAGAATATAGTCAGAACTTGTAGAACAGACTGAGAGAGGGTACAAGACAAGTATAGAATATATAGAGTAAGTCTAAGAGTACAGAACTATCTAGAGTAGACAAGATCAAGACTATTAGACTAGTCTAACCTTATACACTTATATATACTAAACTATATAAGAGTATTCAGGGAATGGTGAGCCACTAAGAATGAAAGAAAGGAGGGTCAAAGATAAAGGTACAAGGAATAAAAGGGTGAACAAAGGAACAGAATGATAAAGTAAAAAGGGGTAGTAGTAAGAGTTATAAGGAGAGTTAGCCTGTATATAGTTTATAGACAGTACTTTCAAAGGACAGAAGTCCTGAGTTCTGGTACAGAAGGGTGCAGGACCTGTAGAACTGAGGTTGTAAGAGTGGAGAACTGTAACAATTAAGAAAACATAAAAAACAGTGTATTTTTACTATAACTTAGTCAAATCTTACTCAAATTTAATAATTAAAGTGTTTATTTGAAGCATATTTAAAAAACATAAATTTATGTTAAATAATCACTGAATTCTGTACAAAATTGAGTGAGAAATAGTTATTTTTTTGTTTTGTTTACTTTTGTAACAAAAAATAATAAATCATTAAGTGTAACAATACTTATAAAAAAGGTAGTAAGATTTGAGTAAGATACAGTGTTTTCTCTATTTTTTGTAACTTAGAGTCACTAAAAGACATGTGACTTACTATTCTAAGAAATTATGAAAACAGTAGTAATAATTAATTTACATACTAAATTTACTATAAATAGATTACTTATTCTGTTTTATTAAGAGAGAGTTAAAATGTGTAAAACTAACTATTTTACTCTAGTTCCCTCTACAGTTAATAAATTTTTCTCAGTCTTAAACTGTATTCTTAAATTAAATATAAATGTATTAGAGTAGTTTACAACAACTTTCATGTAAATATGTTCAAAATTGAGTTTAGAACAAATAGAGAGATTTTACTATAAGTACTCTACTTGTTTTATTTGTTCTGAGCTCAGTTTTGAACATATTTGTATGAAAGTTATTGTAAACTACTCTAATACATTTATATTTAATTTAAGAATACAGTTTGAGACTGAAAAAAAATTATTAACTGTAGAGGGAACTAGGGTAAAATAGTTAGTTTTATACATTTTAGCCCCCTCTTAATAAAACAGAATAAGTAATCTATTCATAGTAAATTTAGTATGTAAATTAATTATTAATGTATCTAACTAGAATAAACAGTTTTCTAAGCCTATATGTTCAGATTTGAGACTAAGAAAAATTATATAAGGAAAAACAGTTAAAATCTATGTATTTCAGTTTTTACAAGACAAGAAAAAGAGATAATTAAAACCTAATTTGATAAATATATTCTACTATTAAAAACATGAATTTAGCAACTTATTTGAAGTGATTCTATCAAGATTTGAGTGAGTTATAGTACTTTTTCTGTATTTTGTGACTTTGTGAAAAAAAATCATGTGAACTATACTACAGCCAATATTTTTGCAAACAGCTGTAATACAAATAGGTAGATATTCTGGTGACTATGATGCCTTTTGTTCCTCCTAGTTACAGTCTCTGCAATCCGTCGAATTCCAAGCATCCTTTCTCTGTATTTTGTGCCCAACGTCAAGGACTGGCATGAAGCATTGTTCTGTAGATACTTCAGTGAGTACTAGCCAAGGACAATCTGTGTCCATGAGAAAATCTGACCTTTTCTGTCTGTATGAGGAGTGTATAGCCTTTCTTTCATCTGCTTTATCAGAACTTCCACACTCCAGCAATCCACCTGCTCCGCAGAACGAGCTGTTGGTTGCGTTGCTTCGCCTGATAATATCATTTACTGTGCTAGGATCCTATCATTCATTCGTAAGTTTGTCTGAACTTAATACTTTCTATTGCATTGATCAACCTTGTTAGCTTCTAGATGGATTATCTATCCCAACATTCTTGTTTGTGCAAAACCTTGCGACTCTCAGGAAGCGTCAGCCCAGTGTTGTGATTGAGAGAGACAGAGTTGCAGAACTCAAGGTAGTGTGCTTTGCGAAATAAAGGAGACCAACTCCTTGTGTGGAATTTCTGGAATGAGGTCCCAGAGTAGATACGCTCGGTAAGGATGGAATTAATTTTGTGATGTGAAATCAGTGTTCAATTTAGCCATTGGCTGAACCTGGTTGACCAAATTACTCTTCATATTCATCTTAACTTTACCTCACTAATTCGGAATTGCTTTGTGTGATCCTTGCTGTTCTAAAATTAAAGGGTCTCTAATTCCGCATCCTTTACCCCATGATATATTCATCTCCAACCATATTCTTTATGGAAAATACACAAAAACAGTCATAATCGGGCCTATACACCTATTCGTACACATACAGAGCTCCAGATCTGCCCAGGATTAGAGAGAAGATAGGAACGCTACAGCAGTCAGAGCAGAAACAATAAGAGACCAAGAGACTTGCATAGAGCGCGTAGACATGCTTGTTCTCATCAGAGCCTGTGGGTTGTTGCCGCAGAGAGTCGAGTGAGAGAGCGCGGACTGAGGGAGGAGGACAAGCGGAAGACCTGCTTTAGAATGAGCTGCGACACTACCATCTGAACCGGTTGTGATAGTGTTGCAGGAGAGAATGTCGACAAGCCTTGTACCAGGTGCAAAGCCCGAGTCAGAACCGTTGACGTTCCAAGAAGGCATAGACATGTTCCCACTGTTTGAAATGAGAGAGAGCATGGGTGGTTTACTCAGTGCCACTGTACCATTGCTAGAAGCGACAACCTTGACAGCCGTTGAGTGGAACTTCGGTTCTGCGAGTGCTGCAAGCTTGCGTGCCTTGTTGAGAGCAGTAATATGTTCGATCAGAGGTCCAGTCTTCTTCATACCAGTCAGCCAGAGAGCACCGTGGTTGTCGGGGGCCTGCAAACCTTCGAAGCCTTGTTCTTGCCCATAGAAAACGATCGGCATGGCATCTGTTGCAAACGTCCATACCATAGCGTTCTTTACGAGAGACTGGTCTTGTGTTAGTGACTGGAAGCGAGGCTGGTCATGGTTCTCCATAAATAAGCCTGAACCGAAAGCACCTTCTTTGAATTTCTGCTGGACATTACGAAGTACGCCGACGAGTCCAGAAATGTCACCGCCCGGCTTCGAGAAAGCTTGCTGGAGCTGATAATAGCTTGGGTAGTCGAGAACGTTGGACATGACGGTCGTGTAATTTGCCGTATAGTCGGTATCGTTGCTCATGACCTCACCTAACGTGAACACGCTAGCGTTCGCAGCAAAAGCAGGCCAGAAGTCCTTACGGACGTGTTTAGCGGCATTGATGCGAATACCGTCAAAATTGAACCTGTCAACAGTATAGTTGACCCACGTATTGAGCATGTCGACGATCGTCTGGTTCTCCGTGTTAATATCGGGTAGGAGGACCTGACCACTGTTGAGCCAGCAGTTCTCAAGCTGCCACTGGTTATTCTGGTCATCTATTGAGCATTGTTGATGGTAATTCGACTCATTCATAAATGGAAGCAGCCATGAGACGTTCGCCGGAGTAGAGTTCGAGCCCATGTGGTTCACATTGACGTCCAGCATGAGATACATCTCACGCGAATGCAGCTCCGAGACAAGTCCTTTCAGGTCTGTCTCATCGCCGAAATGCTTGTTGAGGGTATCGAGGTCTCCAGTCCAGTACCTGGAGTATGACGGTTAGCATGCGGGGTGCGAGTGGCTGACACACGTCACGGAGATCCAGCTCGGATTTATAATACGCACCCGTGATACGAATGCCCCTCTGCGGTGATGTTAACGGTGGTTGAAATAGGTGAAATCCAGACCGCATCGAAGCCCATGCCCTGAATGTAGTCGAGGTTGTTGATTATGCCGCGCCAGTTTCCGCCACAGTAAGTTCGCTCGGTCGTATTGCACGGTGGATAGGTTCCGTTGCCGAGAGCGAAGCGGTCTGTCATGATCTATCCAGATGTCTGTCAGTAACGGGAGTACTTGGTGGCAAAAATGCTAACCTGGTAAATAGATCGCGACCTCCACTGATCTGCAGTGGCGGCGAAAGCGGAAAGCACAAGAGCTTGAAGGGTGAGAGCCGTAGTAGCACGCATTTTTGAAAAGAGTGTGTGGGTTTAGGTATTGATTTGATGGAGCAGTAGAGTAGAAGATACGAGAAGGGGGTGATGTTAGGCGAGGACGGATGGAGTGTGGTCGCGGACTTGCGATACCAGAACCAGTCATGTTCGAAATTATAAATAAGAATTTGAGGCTGACTAGCGATGATCGCCTTTGGACTCTGTGGGCTGGTTCTACTTCATAAGTAAACTGCAGCACTTATACGCATGCTTCGAATTTTCTGGGAAGAGTTCTGTGAGTTTCTAGCGGTCTTCGGTGGTGGTTGCATAGTAGCAGATTAAGCGAGCGAGGTTCGAAAAAAAAACAATTATGAGTGCAGGCAATGGAGCTTGTAGTATTTCTTATTTCATTGAGCCTTGAATTTCTGTTGAACTGAGGACAAAGGCCTTTTGACTCACTAACAAGAGGGAACTTGATAACTTGATGGAGACAAGAGCCCAAGCTGCGTGAGAAAGGGCGAAGGAGTGTGAACGTGATAGACTTGTTGCCTATTTTGTAATTGCCCACTTTCGTTCCGTGTTTTCCTAATAGCCGTGCCACAATCATGATCCTTTCTGCCGCGTTTCTGCCTTGAATTCTATCCCCAATGGCCCGCGACTCGAAGGAAACTGCTGCCCCGCAGCCGCCCATGTACGAATCGCATGAGGAACGGTACAAAGAAATTGCGGGAAATGCGTCGGACCACGTTAAACAGGCACTCGCCATCGGCCTGAACGTCTTCATGGGCGGCGGCCGCGGATTTGCGGATGCTATTGGCGGACGCCTCAGAATTGTGAGCGCGGATGTATTCAGGAAGGCAGACGAACCAGAAAAACTGGAGGGCAAAGTCGTGTGTGAGATTGACGTGGAACAAGGTACGCATATACATCCATCCCGCACTTGACGCGCCTGTATTTGTCTGAATACGTGTTTCCCCCTGTATTCCAATACAAGATATGGTAAATGGAGGCGGAAACGTACACGGAGGGTGTTCTGCATATCTTATCGATTTGTGAGTAGGGCCGTACTCACCTGTTGAATACTGCTGCTAATTTACTGTCGGTGATAGATGTTCTACACTTCCCATCATAGCGCTTTCTCAGTCGACAGAACGAGGAGGGAATGGTGGTGTTTCACAGGTCATAGACGTGGTATACCATTCACCCGCAAGAATGTAGGCACATTCTTCGTCCTTTTCCTATGTCGAGCCCTGTTGCATTCTAACGGCGGTATGGATCATCTAGCGGCGATCGTCTACGCATAGTCAGTACAACGATGTCGCTCGGAACACGGGCCATGTCTGCACGGTGCGAGGTAAGTTCGCTGTCTAGCTTTCTGACAGCAACCGGCGCCTGGATTGCTAACGTTTGTCCGCAAAGATCTGGAACAAGACTCACCATCGCCTGGTCGCGACCGGAGTGCATATCAAGATGGATCCTTCTCCGGCAAAACTGTGAGAGCTACGACATGAGCAAGACTTCTATTGCCTTTTGCTTCCCTAGATTTGTTTGCAGAGTATTTTAGACAGAGTTTGCTCCGTATCTTTCTGGATTTAATGATTTTCAGTTGCCTGTTCTATGATTTTATTGCTAACGTCTGAAATTCAGTGGCGACAGACGACCAGCTTTCCGATGCCTGCTCATCTCTGCCCGTTCACTTTGGTGATGAATGGCTGGAGCGCGGCACGAGATCTTCGGAACAGAGGCTTGGTACAGCCTAGGGCTGAAGACAGCAAGAGAATTGGAAGACTGCGCCGCAACATCTGGCCTTGCGTAATATTGAAAGTTTGTAGATCGTACTAGTACGAGGACGCAGACAGCAATCGCGACAGACATTGACAGTAAAAGCTCCCGCTCGGAGCGAGGATCTCTCGCTATTCTATTGTCAAATGCGGGACATGCGCTTGGCTAGTTTTAAGGCAAAGAAAAAAAGACGAAACTGGCAGGAAGACAAAAATACAGAAATGATTGACACTGGAAGTCGATGTGTGGGGATAAAGAGGCCGAGGTTCTTGTTGCGGTGGGACAATCTGTACTACAGTAGTACCTTATTCTGTGACCGCCGTGTCGTCGGTTAGATTGCATCAAACACGCATCTGCGACATTACGACAGTCCGTGCGAGCGACGGCTTCGTGCACGAAGGTCCTGGCCAGTCACAGCTTGTAGGTACATGCGGACGGCCGACTGTCGTTCTTCTAATAGCCCAGGCTTCCATCAAATTTGACGCATGAGGTCTAATTTTGCGAAGCGATCCCGTCGTGTCGGAATTACTTGGAGACAATAAAATGCTTACTACTAGAGCAGTCCGACGGCCTTATCAGCCCAGCTCCCGCCCCACTCTCGTGTCTCCACTGACAGTTCTGTTTCTGACGTTCGTTTTATCTGGTCTAGACAATGCTTGCTGTGTCTCTATTGCTTTGGTCGTCGAGCTTTTGGAATTATGCCATCGCGCAATCCTCTCCAGCTCAACAAGCTTATACACCTACCATAGGCAGCTGTCCGGATGGCTTTGAGCTCGTCCGGTCTGCGGGCACGGATAATCAAGTTCTCGCCGCTAACGAGTCAGCATACATCTCCGCGAGAGACTCAAGTGTGCTGCCAAGTGCTTGGAACGCTTACTTGCAAAATGTACAGTCTAAAGCGACTCTTCCGGCCTACGCTGAGAGTATTCTCTCCGATTCTAGTTCCTCATTCCCGAGACTCGGTATTGCTGTCAGCGGTGGAGGTTACCGCGCCGCCATCTTCGGTGCGGGCGTCCTGAACGCGTTGGACGCACGGAATCAGACAAGTACTACAGCGGGTACGGCGGGTCTCCTGCAGGCTGCTACATACCTCGCAGGTCTGTCGGGAGGCTCTTGGCTCGTATCCTCCGCAGTGCAAGCGAACTTCCCGGACATGCAAACAGTCGCTTTCGGGCCCCAAGATGGATCCGCTACCTCCGACCCTTCCGGATATGGCGGCTGGAATGCGCAGTTCGATATCCTCCAACCTGCTAGCGATGACAACTCCAACCTTCAATTCCTTGAAGGCATCATCAGTGAAATCGCTGGGAAGCGTACGGTAGGCTTCCCTGTCACAATTACAGACGTATGGGCGCGTCTCCTTTCACGCCACTTTGCGAATGGCACGCATGCGGACACGTTTTTCGATGATAGTACAACTCACGGAGCTGGCATTTTGTTTTCTGGACTTACAGAACTGTATGTTTCCGTCCTTTTAATAATTTGGTGGTTTTCGAAGGCTAATGAATGCCTGTAGATCGAGTTTCAAGAGTCATAACATACCTTTCCCGATCATCACCGCGACTTCTCACTCGTTGCGACAGAATGATAACAACGACATCCCGGGCGACGTGATTCCCTTGTCGAACACGATGTTTGAGTTTAATCCCTGTATGATTTTCGCATCCTCGTTGTCATGAATATGAATTGACTATTGGAACCCGTTTAGTTGAGATGGGATCGTTCGACCCGACGCTTGCTTCATTTACGCCGACCAAATTCCTCGGGACGATGAACACGAGCGTATGCGTTACAGGCTTTGACCAGGTGTCATTCATCTCTGGCACGTCTTCCGAGCTCTTTAACGAGTTCAACACATCTGTGAGTCTTTCTTTTCAAAACATGATGTCATTCATGTGTTCACTGTTGAAATAGGCTCAGGCACTAGCTCAATCTCCTGTTGGACCTTTTTTTGCGCTACTTGAACAAGCTTTGCCGCAGCCATCTTCAATCGAGCTCGATCTGTCCCTCTACCCAAATGCCTTCCTCGGGGTCTCACCTGACACGTTCATCGATTCTGATCAGGAGTTCCTTGGTCTAATAGATGGTGGGGAGGACGGCGAAGTCATTCCACTACAACCATTGCTTGTGAAAGCGCGCAATGTAGACGTCATCGTCGCCATTGACGCTTCAGCAGACACTTCTGACGGTTTCGCAGCGGGAGCTTCACTTATTGTATGTCGTATCAATATGGCACCCTTTAAGTTCACACGGACTAATTTCTACAGGCGTCGAAGAACCGCACTTCGCTCTTCCCCTCTGCATATTCATTCCCGCAAGTCCCAGAAACTACAAGTGAGTTCGTCGAGCAGGGACTCGCGAGTCGCCCTACGTTCTTCGGGTGCAACGATTCATCGCCGACACCGCTTGTCGTTTACCTTGCGAACGGTGCCCCTCCTGCAGGTCAACCTGCCATTACCAACACCTCGACTCAGCAGACGCAATACGAGCCTGCGGAGATCCAGGCGATGCTCGACCAGACGTTCACGATCGCTACGCAAGGCTTTCCTGCCAACTCTTCACAGATGGCTGACCCGGAATGGCCTGCATGTCTTGCTTGTGCCGTCGTAGATCGCGTACGCGCGCGGCAGAGCGTGCAGAGGAGTGGAGTATGCGAGACTTGTTTTGCACGGTATTGCTGGTTCCAATGATAGGCCATGGCATGTCTAATTGACGAGAAATACGTGTTCAGCATTAAAGTATGTAATAGTCTAATTGATTCTCGTAGGGTATCTTCCCGTTCTTCATCTGTGTGGATCGAGCCAGTCCTTCGTGCTTCGTCCCTCTATCCATGAGAACATCTTGTCAGGTCGAATAATCAAGGTGTATTCTTTCGGCTTGGTACAAAACGAGGATGAAGCACACTCAGGTAATCTATGGTCGTATTAAATACCGCAATAACGACTAAGCGGGTCTACATTACGGCACTGGTGTTGTGAAATGCAAAGCAGCGAATATCAGCACGCATCTGCTGGCCAAGTCGGTGCAGTCGATTGTCAATTGTCTATTATCTGTTGTATAAGTACAGGTCAAAAAAGGTAGCACAAACGGCACAAATGACTGTATGGTGTTTAAAAACATTACAGCGAAAAGCAGTTTATTACATGTTTCTTTTACAATATCCACAGTACTAAATTTACAATTCCATCACTTCACACCCCGCTCATGATCTCCTAAACCTCAACCTCGTTTCCGTCAATCTCTCCTTCTCTGCATCAATAAGGGCCTTACAGACTACGCTGAGACGGTCCTGCTGCTGGTGTGCTCGTGTCTGGACATTTACCGAACGCTCCGCCATACGATCGATTCTCTTCAACTGACGCTGCAGGCCTTTGATCTGCTTTCGCGCGTCGGACAGACCGCTTCTGAGTGCAGCAACTTCATTGACTGCAGGTTTGTAATTGGACCTTCTACTTCGGACCACCTTTGCATTTGTATTCCGCTCAATGGCCTCTAACCGAGTTGGACTGGGAATTGGCTCGCAACAGCTACGATCTGTCTGAACCGGACCCTCTTCGACGAAAACGAATGAATAAGCTGTCTTCCGTAGCCTACTCCTCGCCATGATCCCAAAGGCAATGACAGTCTTCGGCCTATGAGGCGTGCTAGTTCCGCGCTTCGTAACGAAAACTAATGAACAGGAGCAATTAGCATTGATGAAACAAACAGATCTTGGTTAGTGTACTCACGAAGGCTGATACTTTCCAGACTTTTCAGGCCCTCGTGGCTCTCTCCGAACGAGTTATCTTTCACGGGGCGATCAGATACCATTGCCTGTCGAAGAGGCGATGGTGTTCTGGGAATGTACGTCTGCGTCCTAGCAAGACGATCTCTCGGTGCCAAATTGCTGCCGGAATCTCGACCCCGAATGGATTGATTTCCGCCCAGGAGATGCGCGGGTATTGCACGTAACACCTCTTTCGAATCAACGAGGTACGACGGGAAGTAACAGGACAAACTTGCCTTGAAATACCAGTTCATGCTTGTCTTCCCGTCAACACAATTCGAATCTGATGTTGGAAATGAACGGAAAAGATATGTGGTTGAAAAAAATGAAAAGAAAAACGGCCACAGAGGGATAAGCCTCAGGACGGACACCACGTTGTCGGTTGAAGCCGGCTATCAGAAGCAGAAGCAGCGACTACTGTGAAGCCATAAAAAGTAAGCATGAGGTCGTCTTAGTCTCTTAGTTCAATATTATTAGGATATGTTAGTTCGTCTTCTGTCTATTCTCGGGAGTTCATGGTGTTGCGCATTATCACCGCAGCCTTGTAGCAGAGTATAGGCACTAGTCAATCAGGAACAGAACTAGCAGAAAGGCAAACAAGGTTGTGACACTGGTTCAAGTGCGGGTAGAAGGGCATGGTGGGTGTATGCGTGAGAAACACACGTAATACATTGCTGCAAGGCTGAGGCTGCAGAGTCAGTACAGACACACAAACTATTAAAAATTACACTTCCGCGTAACTTTCCTTGAGTACTTGCAAGTTGCATATCTCGGAGACATCTATACCAGAATTTCTTTCGACGGCGCCTTTACATAGACAACCAGCTGGCAAACTGCATGCGCTTGAGGTTCCTCCTTTGTTTTCGGAGACCACTATGGAGAATTACTCACGGCAGCATTTGCCCTTTCCCCATTCTCGCGATGAAGCACGGCTCAATTAACGGCCGAATGCAAGCGAGCAATCGGAAAAGTCAATGCTAACTTAAAAGTGTGCGATTTGGAAGCCCACGGGCCCCCCTACCCGAGCAATTTCACAGGTAGCCTCCGGGACCTCTGGAGTTTGGGTGGCACAACAATCTGGGTTTGGTATCTTACACCCTGCAAAACGTCCTGCAAGCTTCGTTCCCATTCTCGATATTGAGCGCCCTTTGACATTCCGTCGGGACAGTTCCGAGGCGGTGACGGCTCATTCCAAGTTCGTCCTTGCAGCCTGGTTCAAAGACCGCCCATTTTTGCGCGCACCTCTGCTTCTTCCAAGCTTTTCCTCTGACACTCACTATGGCAAGCTTTGGCTATGCTCCCGAGCCTTTTATCTTACTGTGTCTATTGGTCCAGTCATTTGTTGTACTTGCTCTTGCTTTCCTTGTGTCATTCTGGCCTTTCTTTCGAAAACTTATTTACAAGTCACCTCTGCGGCATCTCCCTGGTCCCCCAAGAGCCTCATTCACTAAAGGTAAGCTTTGTAATTACTGACAAGCATACTGCGACATGTTATTTCGAGGGAGAATCGATTCAAGCTTAGGCCATACCCTCTCTGAACATTGCGTTCGAGTCTCCGCAGGTTTCCAATTGAACCTTGTATCTTGGTCTTCTGACATCTGGCGCATTAGGGAACTTAGGACAGTTGTTTGATCAGCAGGGATGGTCGTTCCATAGAGACATTGTTCGACATTACGGTGGTGTTGTAAAGATTCATGGTCTTTGTGGGGTAAAGGAAATTTTGACTGCCCAGCGACTGCAGTCTGAATTTCTTCCCTTCTTTTCAGGATGAACAAATCTACGTATCGGATCCAAAAGCGCTTAATCATGTTATCAATAAGGATCAAGACATATATGAAGAAACTGAGTTCTTTACGAAGTACAGATAGTTTGGTCCCAGATCACGCCTCATTCATTAACTTGCTGTTCGCTGCCAGGACCAATCTCGTCTGCTTTGGCCCTGGAATTGTCGCAGTTGTCGGTGAGTTGTACTGGCATGGGCTCCATTCCTGATCTTATACTTCCTACCGCCATACTCGTCAATCGCGCGGACGCCACTGTCCGGAAAAGGCGAGCAACACCGTAAGCAGCGCAAGCTGATGAGCCCGGTGTTTAATGTTCACAACCTCCGTGGCCTTACTCCAATTTTTCATCGCGTCTCACATGAGGTGTGTTCTTTTCCCTTCCCCATCGTCCTTACTTCTCGCTTCTAGTCTACGTATCATCGACAGACAAGATCCGACGTTCATGATTATCTTGTTTCCCTTTCCTCTAGCTCGTTGATGTTTTGAAGAGCCGATTTGATTATCATGGCCCAAGTACGCTCGAGATTGAAATGTTTTACTGGCTGAAGCGTACAGCTCTTGAAATCGTTGGCCAAGCTGGGCTGGGATACTCGTTCGGGCCTCTCGGTGACGAATCAATAAATGAATACAGTGACTCCGTCAAGAACTTCTCGTGCGTTGCTTCCGTTACATGTGCTCTGTGTATTCTTGCCTATCATTGGAGCACAGACCGACTCTGTTCCGGCTTTCTATACTTCGGCAGTTTCTGCCGTTCTTCAGTGGCCTAGGACCTGCATGGTTGCGCCGCATCGTAGTGCGAAGTCTCCCGATCAAACGGATACAACGCCTGCGTGAGATAGTTGAAGTCATGGACAAAACAGCACGTCTTGTGTATGCGGAAAAGTGTACACGCCTGAAAGCCGGAGACGTGGCGGTCCAGGCACAAATTCATGAGAGACGAGATATGATGAGTGTTTTACGTGAGTGTCGCGCTTCCACTGTATACTTATTAGTCTCACGCAGTCTGAAAGTCAGAGAAAATATGTTGTCTTCCGAAGAAGACAAATTGAACGACGAAGAATTTCTTGGTCAAATGTCGTTCGTATACATTTTTACTATGTATAGTGCTACAGAACCTTGCTAAAGACTCCTCACAGGATACTTATATTCGCTGGGCAGGATACGACCGCAGCCGCATTCGCACGCATTCTACAAACACTCGCCGAGCATCCAGAAGAGCAGGTTCGGCTCCGCAATGAGCTAAAAGAAGCGAATGCACTTGAGGGGGGAGATCTCGACTACGATTCTCTTCACGCACTCCCATTCTTAGATGCAGTTTGCCGTGAAACCCTGAGATTGTCTGTGTCCATTTCATAGGGATTTATTGCTGTCGCATAACTTCTTGATCCTATCTTCAGGTACCCACCAGTGTTCATGCTTCATCGAACGTGCGTCTTCCTCTCTACTCGTAGACTTTTGAACCGACCTTACCTGTTCATCAAGTACAACAAGGGACGCTATCTTGCCGCTCTCCGTTCCGATACAATCAGCTGACCAGAAGTCGACCATTGCTGCCGTTACACTCCTGCGCAATACGAACGTAATCATCGCAATAGAAGCCGCGAACCGAAGGCCAGATATCTGGGGCCCGGATGCGACTGAGTGGAGACCCGAACGCTGGATGGGAGATAGAAGTCGTGATGGACAAGGAGAGCGGGACAAGTGCTCTGAGGAAGGACAAACGGAGGGAAGGCTACCTGGTGTCTATTCTGGGCTGTAAGTTTTTCGTCCGGAGTCACGCTGGTGCCACCTGACGAAGAGATAGAATGACGTTTCTTGGAGGGGGAAGGTCATGCATGTGCGTTGTCTTCATTTCGAGCATATAAAAATTAAGATCCTTTTCAGTGGCTTCAATTTTGCTGTTCTAGAAATCAGTGCGTTTCTCCGACTCCTTTTCTGCTGAAGACGGGGATATAATGTACTCTGTCCTGCAGAAGTGCTCCTGGCTGCAATATTGCCTGTATTTCATCTTGACCTGCCCGAAGGGAAAGAGCTTGCGTGGAAACTAGGTGGGATTGTGTCGCCTGGCGTGAAAGACGACCCCGTACCCAAGCTTCCACTGTGCCTCTCCTTGATTGACGGCCATACCGAGAGGCAGAATGAAACATAAAGCTGGTAAAACTAGTGATGTATTCTTCCGCACGACAAGACGTCTCCTGTATTGTTTGATATGTCTGTAATATAAATCGTTGTAGATCTTTCCTAGATGGGGATATTACCCTGAATATATGCTATTGATTTATTATTATTCACTAAATTTGGCCAGTATCCGCGAAGCAAGACATAGACAAGCAAGGTCCAGAGTCCAAGTACGCTGTAGAGCGTTGTCCCTCGGAACCAGTAGAGTTATACGAGGGTAGCCGCGTTGTGCCCACGCGGAGGACGAGACCGTAAAAATGGATGGGTGAAAATTTCCAGAGGGTGATGCCGTCAGCCAGAGGTTTCCACAAAAGGCAAGTATTTGATTAATCAGCACCATTTGTTGAGTCCGACGCCTGTCCTCGCGTTACCCTCGTTGTTGTCGTCCATCGTTTCTCATCGTCCGTTTTGGCGTCAAAAACCAGTCGCTCTTTGCCTCCTTCCTTCACCAACGAAATGCAATCCTTCATCACCCTCTCTTTCCTCGCAGCGGCCACCGTCGTGCGTGCTCAATACGTGAGTCTTCTCCCGTTTTCGTCTCGATCCCCCCTTCCCAGTCGCTTGACTACGGCCAGACCGCGTTCTCTGTGGCGAACGTGTTTTCGTGAATTGTTTGATACTGACCTACACTTTTTCTTCTTTGTTATTAGTCCTCGTCTTCGTCCGCCACGCCAACATCAAGTGCGGTGACCCTCATTCCTACGGGCATTAGCTCGGGTTGCTCGTCTTTCTTGCAGTCGCTTGACAGCAACTCGACTCTCACGTCATACGTTGCGCCGATTGTCAATGCAACGTCAGCGTTCAGCCCGTACGCAAATAGCACGAATGCTTCCAGTAACGCCGTGAACACCGTTCTCGGCTCACTCTGCGCGTCTTCGTCAACGTCCGATGATTCTGCAATCCGTACCCAGCTCAGCTCTTTCTACAGCTCGTGCACAAACGAGCTCACTGGATCGTCATCCAACAAGGATGTCATTCGAATTTACGATGTCCTTTATGCCATTGTCCCGATGAAAAAGGCCGTTTGTTCGAAGGATGACAGCGGGAATTACTGCGTCAACCAGATCTCATCATCGGTTAGCTCCGCATCAGCTCCGGGTGGTGGCACCTCCAAGTCCGTTACATCTACAGGACAGAGTACCTATGAACTCGTGCAGAACAACCTCTGGTCGTATTCCGGTTCTCTCTCGAAGCGCGCCGATAGCGATGGTGCAGCTCTGATCCCGAACACGACAACTTACCGATCTTCGAACTTGCCGTTCCTCTTCCTTACGCCGAGCCTGTCCTCCGACAAACTTTGCGTCTCATGCACACGCTCCGTTCTCTCAGCATACATGAACTTCGAGCAGTCCGTTCCTTACGCACTTGGTATTGCAAACAGCCCCATGCTTGGCGGCCAGCCTGAATTGTACAGTGCCGTCAACAGCACGTGCGGTTCCAACTTCATGAACGGTGCTGTCCAGGCCGCTGGTGGTTTGTCAGGTGGTATCGTTGGCAGCGGAGCTCCACATCTCACTCCCGAGGGCGGTATGATCACTGCGGCAGCTGCAGCCATCCTTGGTCTTGTCGCTGTGCTGTAAATGCCCTCAGAATATGCATGCATGCAACAAAGATTCATTTGGAATTGGTTATGTTTGTTATCGGACTGTTGTTGGGTTTCCCTACCATTTCCGCTTAATGTGGAATATCTTACATTCGGCCTGTGCGCCATAGAAGCGCCTTGTTTGCTTTCAACTTGGTTTGATACGAATGTCGTAAACAGTTATACCTAGTTTAATGTTCACCCTCGCTGTGCGGACGGTCCATCCCTCCATTCTCTTCTGTTTGCCGTCTTGTCCCCCATTCTTTATTTGTACCCTTTTCGCTTCGCGTATTGAACATATACCCAGCGTGGATGTTTGTAACTTGCGCTATTTCTTGATAAATAAGGCACAATGTGTCTCCTGCCGCAATCTGTTCTGCAGTAATGAGTGCATACCTGAGTTTGTCTATGCAAAAATGTTTATTTTCGGAGTTTGAGTGAGCGTTGGCTCCCATGACCTGCGCTTGTTCTTCCCAAGTTCCACGATCCGGATCCTCCAGGTCAGCAAGACTCAATCATGCATCATCCTTCCTTCGTTCCTGCCTTCATCCGCGGGGGTACGTGCTACAGGGCCCGTTGAGAGTATTAGCAACACCAGTTGAATGGACAACCTCAAATTGTTTGAGCAATCTCGTCTGCTATGGCGCCCACCAAACCCATCCCGAACGCGTGTCGAGGCATTCAGAAGGTTCGTCAATCACAAGCACGGTCTGCGACTCAGTACGCGTATTCCTCTTAATTGTCCTCAATGTTGCGGTATCTCATGAATTTTATGTTTTTCTAACAGAGGATTATGAAGATTTTCACGCGTACTCAGTACAAGATTATACATTCTGGCTCGATCTGTGGGAATTTCTAGGGATTACAAGTAGTATTCCACCAGATCCGTTGAGAGTAAGTCTTTTAAAAATGTGATGTGGATGCGCTATGCTCATTTACTCCTAGATTGTAGAGCCCGGACGAGCTCCTTATCTCCCTAATTGGTTTCCAGGAGCTCGTCTAAACTATGCAGAGAATCTTCTCTGCCGATCGGATGACGGCATTGCAATAACATTTGCTCGTGAAAATGCTCTAGATTCAGGTATAGATGCGAAGGAACGCTCTCGCAGGATACAGGACGTGACCTGGCGAGAACTCAGGAAGATGGTTGGCCAATTGACGGCCGGGTTGAGAGCGGAGGGCGTAACAATCGGTGATAGAGTTGCAGGTAAGCTTCGAGATCCTATATCGTATACAATATACTAAACACAGTTCACCGTAGCCATTCTTATGAATTCACCGATTGCTGTTGCTCTGGCACTTGCTGTGTCCGCAGTCGGTGGCATCCTTTCGCCGACTGCGCCTGACATGGGAACGCAAGGGATTCTTGAACGTTATCGTCAAATTCGGCCGAGACTCTTGGTGGCGGAGACCAGTGCAATTTACACAGGAAAGTCTATGGATTTGCTACCTAAATTACGTGAAGTGGCCAGGGCTTTGAGTGATTATGATCTTAAGAAGGTCGTCCTCGTGCCTGGCGCGGCGGCGACCTCTACGGGAATACGTGATGTGCCGTTAAGGTGAATTATCTTTCGTGTTATATTGATATTCGTGAATGGAACTAAAACACGTCTTAGTGTGACGCTTGACGAGTTTGTGGCATCCGGGTTGTCATATAGCGGTGCTCTGACGTTTGAGCAATTACCTTTTAATCAACCGCTATACATCCTTTTCTCTTCAGGCACTAGTGGTCCTCCGAAGTGTATCGTTCACTCTGCTGGAGTAAGCTGTATCCGGTGCATCCTGTGACTCTCTTGGTAGTACTGAAATTGCAATCCTTGTGCAGGGCGTCCTGCTACAAAACAAGAAAGACAATGCACTGGGGTTTGGTATGGGCGTTGATGACACGTACTTTCAATTCACGACAGTACGTCAATTCATCTTCTTGCATTGCAACTTTGATAAGATGTAGAATTGCAGACAGGCTGGATGATGTGGCCGTTCATGCTGGCTGCTCTCGCGGGCGGGACGCGCCTCATTGCCTATGATGGATCCCCTTTTTATCCCGATGTCAAAGAATTTCTAAAGTTCGTTAGCGAGCAGCGGTATGTTGAACGACAAATACCAGGGCTGAATGCATAGCTCACGGTCTAGTTAGCATAACAGTATTTGGAACAAGCCCTCGGTTCTTGTCTGAGTTGCATTCACGAGGAATCCACCCACGTGCGTCAATACCTATTTACATTGAGCAAAGATTGAATGAACCCGTTGTAGTCGATCTCGCACCTTTCGATTCTCTTCGTATCCTCTTTTCGACCGGTTCTGTTCTTACTGCTCCGATGTTCGAGTGGACTCAGCACGCGTTTGGAGAAAATGTACATGTTCTTTCCGGGTCTGGAGGAACGGACATTTGTGGACCATGTAAAGTTTCTTGCAGTATTTCTACAAACGTGTGATTCTAACTGCTAAATATCAGTCGTCGGCGGTGTTGAGAGCCGTCCTGTATACAGCGGAGGTATGCTTTCGACCCCGTCTTTACTATAGAACTGTGGTTAACAAGTGTATTTTTTTGGACAGAGATTCAGGGCAAATGTTTAGGAATGGCCGTTGAAATCTTTGATCCTGAAGGTAGAAATATTGAGAACACTGGAACACCAGGAGAGCTTGTTTGCACGCGCCCTCATCCAAGCCTACCAGTCAGCTTTTGGAACGACAACGATGGTGAGAAGTTGCGTAAAGCTTACTTTGATACGTATCCAGGTAAGTAACCCGTTGAAATGTACGAACATCATGGGTTTAAGTGACCAATGTGTTTTGAATTGGCCCCTAGGTGTCTGGAGGCAAGGAGACTTCCTTGCCCTTAATCCACGTACAAAGGGTCTGATGATTCTCGGGCGCAGGTCAGTACAAAGCGTTTCTGCTGGTCCAACTACAAATCGCTAATTTATAAAAGTGACGGTGTCCTAAATCCGTCCGGAGTACGCTTTGGTTCGGCCGAGATTTATGCAGTGCTGGAATCGCCGCCGCCCCCATACCAGTTTTCGCAAGCTATTGCTGATGCTTTGTGTGTTGGCCAACGTCGTGATAGGGATAAGGACGAGCGTGTCCTCCTGTTTCTGCTGATGCGCCCTGGACACAGGCTAACATCCGAGCTCAAGAGAGATATCCGAGAATCAATCAAGAAGGCTCTCAGCGCAAGGCACGTACCCGCCTATATCTTCGAGGTCGACGACATTCCGGTACGTCCGCGACGAATTGTATTATTAATCCCTGCACGGGCTAATTCATTATTACAGTACACTGTAAACAGTAAGAAGATCGAGATTGCTGTTAAGCAGATTGTCTCGGGCTCGAAGTTGAAGCCGAGTGGAACCGTTGCAAATCCAGAGTCACTCAAACAGTATTACAGATTCTATGAGATAGAATTACTGGATGAATCTGGTCATCCTGTAACAGATCAGAAAGCAAAGCCTAAGCTGTAGTCTCAATAAAATAATTGGATTTTTTGACTAGTATTGCTGGATTGATGTTATATAAATATTAGCATTGTACATCATTGTGTGAAAATGCTGTAATCCTCTTCTTAACTGGACTATTTCAGTCATATATATTTAAATTGATGGGTTATTTAAATAACTAAAATCTACATATAATATGTTTATTGTAAGATATGTCCTTATGCAACCTTCAAGGAAGACTATTAGGAATTTAGTGCAAGAATTATCTGTAAACATCTAATATAGTATATAATTGCTTTATTCAAACAGTGTACTATGTATAGTATATATTTCTTTATTATACTATTATATAACTATGTATATGTTTTAAGTAAAGTTCATGTATACTGTATTTCCTTTGCACTTTTTATATAAAATACTTATATATACATTACCGTTATAAGTGAATTTGTAATCTATTGTCATTCAGCTGAATTCGCATAATCATAATTATGGTAAAACTTAACTTTCTGTAAAATAATATATTGAATTATAATCCTGTTTTAGAGTGAAAAGTCTTCCTTCAATTTACACACACTTTCAGATGATGAGAAGAACAGCAGGAAGTGACCTTTTTCTTCATTATTAAGCAGACTGTAACAGAACAACATAGTAATGCACTGGCAAACACATTTATGAACTGTCGTAGCACAAATAAATGCAAATAAGTACGGAATTATCGGTACAGTGATTCATTGACTGAAGAAGCATTGAAGGTGACCGATGCAGGAAAAAAAAACATGAAACAATCAACGATACTCTGCACCACAGTCTCCGATGATTGTGATAAGCTTCCTTCCATTTGATTGATCCAGGATTGCCTCTATCTGTTGCTTGTCCTCCCCAGTCAGGCTGAAGGAAAATACGCGACGGTTATCTTCCGTGTGTGCTGAGAGTCCGAGACGTGTACCTTGAATCAAGAAATTTGGGGTGCTCACAAATGAAACGGTGAAGTAATGAAAGGTGTAGTTCTTACGTACCAACAAGAACGGCCCCGACGAAGGGATGCTGAAGAACCCATCGCGTTGCCACATTCGCGATGCTCACTCCACCGTGTCTGTCTCCGATGGCTCGCAACACGGAAAGAAGCGATTGAAAGAGCATCCAATCACCCCACGCTTTGATGATCATGTCCAAGTACTGCCATCACGGGGGTTGCGCATCGGAACAAAGCATGAGTAATCCACGAAGTTGATGTAAATTTAGTTTGAGCCGGAACACGGACCTTCCGCTGTGATGGTGTCATTGATCCTTGATATGCTTCGGGCTCCGGCTTTCCGAGCCATTCATCTGCGAGAAACCCGCCACACTGCAATGCACGGGTTTAAGATCAGCATTGCAGAACAGGGCGGTGCCGTCGCAGACTGGTAAATCCGAGGTCGGACGGAGACAGGATGATCCCAGATTGTACATACCAGAGTTCCGTAGGTGAGGAGCTTGATTCCATGCTTCTCGCACACATGGTCCATGCCGTGCAAAGGTCGCGTGTCGATCAACGAGAACTGTTGATGGAAAACAATTCACAAGCTTCATTCGCGAGTAAAGATGCCGAAAATGACGAGAAACCACTTGCCTGTACCTGGTTTGAAATGATGGCTCCTGGGCCCAGCTGTGTGCATATCTCGTCTGTCCTGATAGCGTCAAAGTTACACAGTCCAATGGCCTTGATCATTCCCTCCCTCTGAAGGGCCTGAAGGTGAGTAAGTGCCTCAAGGTAACCTTTGTCGGAATAATCTTGCCAGTGAAACTGATTGAGAATCTCGAGGGTCAGTTCCGAGCAGACTGTCCGAACGAAGGTTGCGTACCTGGAGGATATCGACTGATTGACATTTCATCCGGACGAGACGTTCATTGATCGCCGCCTCTACGACCGCCCGGGTGGGAGTCGTTTGCCTGAACACGCACCATTTTGTGGCTCCGACTACGCTCGTGGGATCGGCCAAGCTTTGCCTGAATTCACCCTGCAAGTGTAAAGTGACGTGAACGCCGAGGGAAACGCATAAGCGGGAAAACGACTGACAAATAGAAGTTCGGCGCTGCCATAGTGGTCAGCTAATGATGCGTAAGTCTCATACGTGCATGCTTTGTCTATGACTGCCAAGGAGAACTTACCCTGTAAATGTTTTGAAAGAGTCGAGACGAAGATGAGTATATCGACCTGAGGCACAGAGGTGCATAAATCAGACTTGCCATGTCTAAGGCAATTGGATGTTAGTGAAAAAGCTCATGCAAATTACAGTCCAGCATACCAAATGCAATGAAGCCTTCGTCAAAATGTCGCTTCATCTCGGAGCGAATCTTGCTGACTGGTGCCGTTCCCCATGCATTGCTAGATAATTGCCACAAGCCAACGAAGAGGCGAGGTACAGTGAAAGGGCCAAGTTTGACGGTTTCCATTGTCTGTAGAGAGCTTAAGCGTTTAGCCTCAGGTATCTTGACTGAACCGTTGCAACAAAGCAACTGCTTGCTAGGGGAATGATGTTCATTGGCAACACCAAGAACCCTTTTATAGAAAGGGATTGGTATGCTTATGCGCGATGACTAGCTAAGTCCATGTATCCCGGAGCGGCTGTGCAATAGTCTTCGTTGGAATATGCGAGTGGCCTTGTCACTCGTCAAGTAAATAAGACAGTAGCTCCAACATCGAGATCTTTATTGACTGATGAGGCGCAGGTGTAGTGGGTGATAGATGAAGAACTACGGTTGAAACGAGAAGCATTTGTCCTCGTAACATGCATGCCCGTTTGAATGCCGGACAGAGGAAGTGTACTCCCCTGACAAGGATAATTTGAAGAGGCTCAAATGTACCACGTAACAAGGGCAGATACAATCTGTGCAACGAATGAATAGTCTAATCAGACCTGCTCACGCTCATCCGGGGGACTACGACAAATACAGCAACGACCGGATGTCATCTCTCTCGTGGCTTGATCGTCACGTACTTCTTTTCGAAGACAAGATAAGCGACCAGGGCTCAGTTTAGCGCGGCGCTCCGGCGTCTCGATGTCCTGCTAGAAACCAGTCAACGTCGTTTCAGGTCTCTCAAGTAATCATTTCCAATTCTGTCCGGCCTCAATGATCATGGAGATCGGTGCTGGCATCTGATACACTCGGGCCAATGAAAGGGGTCTGACGTCGGCTTCTTGTTTTTATAAGCCCGATAATATAAAAGTTTCGCGTGCGTAGATCATCTATAAAGCGTGGCTTGAAAGCCAGTAGCTCAACTGTACCATCGCCTTGCACTCAGAGCACATCATCCCCCATCTCATCTTGACAAATGCCTGCTCCAGAAGTCGACACTAGTACTATAAGCGCACGTCCCGCACTCGGACATGTGTGAGTACCGCCAACTCATGCTATGCGCTATGCTGCACCGCTCATTGCAGTTCGTTGCCAGAAACCTAATGGTCGATACTTTGATCGCCAATGCATCTCTCGACGAGTAAGTTGGATTTTGTCATGAGCATCGAACTGCGACACGTACTGATCTGAGCCATGATCTCCCTGCAGTCTCCGAACGATCGTCCGCTCCATGCTCGCAACAAGCCCACCAAGCGTTGCAGCTTGTTTTGTATCCGCAGCACGCGGCTGCCTCAGTCAATCCATGGAACGGGGCATAAGCAAACAACCAGTGCTCTTCGAACAGCGAGAACGGCACGGACGGGTCGAGATCACACCTAGCGCTTGTCTAACCAGCCTGTTGTCATATACACGCACGCTTTACGGTGCCGGCATGGGATTTGAAAGCCTAGATACTCTGTCTAGGATTGTACATGCAACTGCTGGATTGCGGTGGGACGCAGACGACCGGCTGGTCCTTGACCTTGCTATCATCGATGCAGATGTCAGCCAGGCAATTCAAAGCTGCCGAGAGGAATACACAGCGGGCAATGTCCGAGATATTAACACTGCTAGAACAGCACTACGGAAGCTCCGAGCGGCGTTGACGGAGTGCCGAGCGGAGGTGGAGAGCTGGGGCGGCGAGTTCCCGTTTTACAGAGGAAGTGCCAACGCGGATTATTTACACCTGTAGCATACTGATATGTTCAATTATTCCAATAAACTATGCCGATACATCCTGTGTGTTACGCAAAAATAAAATAGCCTCGTGTGACAGGAGTGGCAAATGAAAACAACAGTGCGTAGACCGGGCCCCGCAGCTGGAGACAACAACGACCGGTATCAGGCGTTGGCAGATGTGGGATGGCGAGTTGCGATGCATGGTCGAGAGGAGGTCCAAGGAATCAGGGAGGAGACACTGCTGTCCAGTCTCGGTTGCACAGCGCGCTGGAGGGCTGTGAGACAGTGAGAGCAGGTGACGAGGAATCAGAACAACAATTTTAGTAGTCTCCGCTTGAAATGAGACGAGAATCTCGAGATGTGCATGTGGACCGGATAATGGCGCTAGCGGTAACACTGGCTTCAGTATGGCACTTGCACTAGCTTGCTTGCACTTGCATGATGGATGCACAAGTCAGAGTTCATTTCAGGCAACGCGTGTAACGGTTGATGTTTGTTTGTATTTCTCATCTCAATTTGGGACTTGTCCTTGTCTCTCAGCCCTCTCTGTGTGTCTTGTCTGTCATGTTCTCTTACAATCCAAATAGATTATCCACAGAACATCAGGCTTCGCGAAGTACAGGTTCAATGCGCCGCGTGAATTTATTGCATCTGTGCATAGCTGTCTAATGAACCATATCCTCTCTTCTCTTCCTTCCTTACCTTCCTGCTTGTCTCATATACTGTATCCCGCGGCCATGGATGTTTGAGAGAACCTTGATCCCCAGCTGCACGGGCTCCCTTCCCACCTCCCACCTGCCCACACTTCCCTGCTCTTCTTTCCTTCTCTGTGTGTACAAATTCGGAACAGAAGCCGATATAGTCGTGTTTCCAATATTCTGTCAATTCAGCCACAGAGGTAGATCCGACAATCCATCGTTATCCGGTATTATCAGCGCGAACGTTGGTACACCGAGTTGTACCAGTGCTGCTGCTCGTGCTAGAGCACTAGGAACCTCGGAGCCAACTCGCTCTAGCATGACCTCCGGACTGAGGCAGTACGGCGGGCCTAACCATTTGCACTCGGAAGGAACAAAAGTCTATTTTTTGCTGTCAAAATTGTCATCAACAGAGACGAGTAAATCATAGATCAAGATTGGGACGTCTTCTACTACGTAGTGTCATCCGCCGGGACGAGATTGTAGCCTTGCAGAGTTGGCCGACTCGCAAACACCGTTTCACGTCAGCGGGGAATTTTCCGCGGTACCAGGAACGTCCAGGAACAGCAGGAACAGCAGGAACAGGTGCCATTGTGTCAAAGTCTAAAGGTTACAGCCTTTCTGACGTCTACAACAGCTCCAAACTTTCAGAATTGTGCCAAGAACAATTGATAAATATGACTTCACGGCAAACAAGGAGATCTTGTTCTAGCGATTCGCGGTTATAACACTGACACAAGAGGGGAGGCTTGATGGCTGGGAGCAGGACCGAATAACCGGAAGACACTCCCAGAATCAGAGACTACCTGTGTCATCCGGGCTCAACAAGGAAGTAGCTCATCGAGGCTTCTTACCGGTGTCTTTGACACCTCTGAGGCATGAAGTTGAAAGACCGAAGTGTGGTCATGCGCTAGAAGTAGCTCAATTAAAGGCTAACTTTGCATATACAGTGTCAAAATTGTCTGGAACAAACGGCCAAACGAGTCCGAAGATTTCCCAGAAAATTTCGAACAATCTAGGCAAGAGATAGAGACAAGTCCCTGATATGCCTATCAGCGATGCTCTTAGCACTTAAGTCAGCTTGAACATCGCAGCTAAGATGGTAGAGCGCCAGGTTGCATTGTGCCGGATAGCTGTGTCAGATTATACAATATATTCCAGGAAGAGGCCGTGGCATAGCAAGGTAGTTTATCAGTGGAAGTCAGAGAGCTTGACTTGAACCACTAGGGCTGATCACTTGACAGACTGGAGAGCCGAAAATCGACAGAGAAGATAGCCCTGACGTCTTTGCAATGGCAGAGCAGCATCAGAGTGTTCGCCAGTTTTAATTAATAGCGGTTGAGCGCTCAGTCACATAGGGTGTCAGAAGGAATTCTGAGAAGGCATCTTCAATACTTCGGTGCTTCAGCCTAGAGGGATAAATGGAATACATGAAACGAATTCCTCGCATTTCACGAAAGAAATCTGGTGCAACAAAGTCTCTGTAAAGCGAGTTTCACGGACACTCTATTTCAGTGACAAGATGAAAGACTGAATGAAACGATTTCGATCAGAATAACACTGGGCGGGACACACTATAATCTCATTTAGTATTTTACGACATCGTTAAAGACCGAAATCTTCAGCGCGTCAGGGCTTTATGGGAAGGAATTCAGGCGTTCGATGGTCAATATGCCGAAATTTGACCTGAGCACAACTAAAAACAAGTGCTACGGCATCGCTGCCATTATCAAATACATGACAAGACGGGTTAACGCGGGCTTACAATGCCATATAACTTCATGACATTGTAGCATCCCAGCCAAAGAAGCTGCACGCAAAGTTTACCTTATACGGACTGCTCGGAATGAGGTTCCATGTATTTATGATGTATGCAGCAGTCCCGAGCCGCAAACTCGAAAAGCAATCTTCACAGAGTGAAACGAGTATGGTGGGAAGTAGTACACCACATTCAGCTATGTCAGTCCCAGATTTGATCAGTGTTAGAGAAAGAACTTATCGGATATTGTTTTCCAACTCGGATAGCATCGGATACGTTGTAAACGCCACATGTACGTTTCAAGAACCAATGTGCATGTGGTCCCGATACAACGCCATATGTACACTTCATGTTGCTATACCAAGGGCCGAATGATTGGAACAGGCTATGAGTCACGATTGGGTTGGTTTGAGGTTAGCATCATTGGCTCCCTTGGAGACTTGGAGATTTGAGCGCATCAGCGCGAAATTGCGGCAAAGATTATATCCAGGACCCAGTACTGCAAGCGGTTCCATTTACTAACGCTAATTTGTGAATCTCGCATTAAGTCATCTAGGACTCGCAAAGCGCGCAATGTTCGTTCTCTATTCGCAGCAGACGTTGAGGGAGACATGACCGACATTTCGGTAAAGGATGGCGATGCGGAAATTCGATTAAATCAGACTTGAATATTCTGCCATGGGCTGCGTATGTCGTAGTTAAGCGATCAGTAGCTGTAAGAGAGTTGTAAATGCCGTTCAGACCGGGATAACTCGATAATCCTTTTGCATAATTCTGGATGCACAAATTCATTGACCCTGGATGCTATTCGGAGTCCTCGGTATAGATCACAAAGGATATCTGCCTTCGGTCATATTTTGGTATCCGAAGGTGCGTGCTAAGCCGCCGTGTCTTCCCCCTATCCCGTTCAAGAGGCACGCATCATTCCAAGTATCCATTCTCAATTGCCTCGTGTAGAATCTGTTATCTTGATGAACGACTAGACCATGCAAGCCGTGTAGGCTTTGGGAATGCGACTATCGGCAATATTTCGTTTCCAAGAAAGTCGCTGTTCCGAAGCGGGACCCGGCGAATTTACGGGGGGAGGGAGGACATGATATTACACTGACCAGTCTAATGCTGGCAAAGTTAGTGTACACATGATGAGCACATTGCAGCATTAGCACCTGTGCTGTGATGGTCATGCGAGTGCGACCAGTTCAAAGAACCGTAGATGACTTGCCGCGTTACAGCCCCAGCTTGCTGTTAAAAGTACAGGCGGAGCAAGGAGATAACCAAGTCAATGCCAAACCCTTCGCCCGGTAAACATGATAATGTCCATTGATGACGGTAGAACCAAGAAACTGGCGACGCTGCGATGCAACTTTCTATCTCGTTGCGCGAACATCGTCTACCTATTGATTCGGATCCAGGCGGAGCTAAATTCTTGCAAGTTTGCATCAAACGAACGTGCTCGTGTCGATTGTGACAGCATCGATGGTCAGGCTAGGAAAAGTGCAACACAAAACGGTATCTGGTCCATGAACTCCGAGGCGTCCCAGAGGGGGGACAGAACAAAGTTGGCCTGGAATGGAGAATGCGAAGATCCATGGTAGTGATTCCAGCCGACCTCGAGCCGTCAATACGGTGATACTGCTCAGGGCAGCTCTTGTGCAAAGAAGAATGCACGTGCAATTGAATGCATAGCCCAGCATGTTTGCTTCCACACTACGCGAAATATCAGTCAATGATAGCTACGGAAAAATTAAATGCATGGAATCACAAACAAAACAGCAACCATAGCCACAGACCAGGTTTCGGGTATCATTCTTGGCGGACGAGAATTAGGGATGTATGATGTATTACTCCCTCTAAACTTGTTCTGTGGGATAAACAGATCGCTGATGTTAGTGTTTCCGTATCCAAGAAGCCCATTGCTGGATGCAATTGCCAATCTCAGGCTCCCGAAAGCACAAGTGCGCTGTGATCAAACTTTCCCTACTCTATGCACACAGGGCATGACTACTTACTCGATATTCCAGGGAACGAAGCATTCGATACATCCCGAGTCGAATGAACTTGTTATCCGTATGATGTGCACAAGAGGACGACTAAGCGACCATCTCGGCCTAGTAAGACGTTTATGACTAAGCGTGCATCTACTCGAACAACACAAATCACTGATTGCTATCAGACTTGGGACAGTACCTCACAACGACGGCATGTAAAGAACTGATAAAGCAGTTCTGCTGGCAGTGCGACTACTTTCAAGGTTATGGAGAAGATATATTATAGTGTAAAATATGTTCGTAAATGAAGCACTTCCTTCGGTATCGGATATGGTGTAACGGCTAACATTGCCGCCTCTCAATTTGGTTCGCGGCAGCTCGGGGTTCGATTCCCCGTATCCGAATAAGGAGGCTAGGAATTCCAACTTTTTCGTCATATTCTTTTTCCACTGCGGACGCGTTAACAATACTTTTTCTGTGTCTTCCTTCACAGTACTGTACGCTCCACTCGAGCTCAGTTCTGAATAACTGTACCGGCATATTCACACATGCAGGCATGATCCCTAAAAAATACTACTTACTGCTACTACTAGTACTAGACTTTCCGGACCGCGGTTGTTCCGATGACGGATAAATTCATGTTCCGTTAACTTACAATAGTGCTAGTTACAGTCAGCATCCACCCACGCTGACCGATGCACGACGATTGCCTGCTCCGTCTCCGCTCCTCGTCGGAGTCACCTCACGTATATCCCATGCCCTCGCTATTCAGAGTAGCACTGCAGGATGGATGCGGCGCCGCACAGTGATGTATCTACAATGGTAAACGGCAACGGTGTTTCCAGTGCCCGCACAACCAGCGAAGTCCTTGGAAAGGCCGAGCTCGGAAACGAGGGCCGCAACAGCATATTACAAGAAAAAGGGAAGACGATTCTTACGGAGCTCAAGCCAGAGGATGACCCGAAGAAGCTACCGCTTTTCCGCAAATGGCTTGCAGTGGTTGTTATATGCTCGGCAGCATTTTGTACTACGTGCACTTCCTCAATTGTATGTTTCTCCTATTATTATTATTTCTTTTACTATTACTAAACACTATGAATATCGTTCATCACAGGCATCGGCAGCTGAAGATGCCGAGAGTATCGAATTCCACGTCTCAAAAGAAGTGACTATCCTCGGAATCAGCCTCTTCGTCGAAGGCATGGGCATCGGTCCTCTTCTCCTAGGCCCGCTTTCTGAATTCTATGGCCGTAATCCCGTGTACTGGGTTTCGTACTTTCTCTTCGTCGTGTTCTCTTTTCCGGTTGCATTCGCACCAAATATAGGTTTGCTAGCACAGTACCATCCGTTTATCATTGCGCTGATTTTAATCATCTTTTAGTTGTGTTTTTAATTTTCCGGTTTGTAAGCGGTTTCGTAGGGTCGGCTTTCCTAAGTGTAGCAGGTGGGAGCGTTAGTGACCTCTTCACGAACGATGCCGTGGCTACGTGCGTGCAAGCTCGCTTTACTTCACGGACTTCATGCATTGAATACCGCTCAATCCAGGCCCATGGCGATCTATACCATCTCGCCTTTTGCAGGACCTGTAATTGGACCCTTATTATCTGGATTCATCAACCAAAACACCAATTGGCGCTGGACATACTATATGCAAATTATCTGGGCCTTCACAGAACTTGTTGCTTTAGTGATTGTGCGTTATGTTACCGTCTTGGATTGCATTTCATAACCCCGTTCTTAGTTTGTCCCGGAGACGTATGAGCCAGCCATCCTAAAGAATAAAGCTAGAAGGTGAAGAAGTACCGATGCGCTTCCCCGAATAAACTCTTACGAGGCCGTATGTACACAGATTACGGAAACACCATAACTCGGACATTTACGCTCCATTAGAGTTAGAGCATAAAGGATTATTCCATGCAATATTTTTCAGTTGTTACAAACCATTTGGTAAGCCTTCACAACATGTTCATTGAACTCTCCACTCACATCTTTATAAGAACTTTTGCTTTTTGATAGAATGGCACTTCTTCTAGACTTATGGACTGCACTTGTCCTCGGAATTCTATACCTTGCTTTCCAAGCGTTTCCAATTATTTTTGGTGAAAAGCATGGATTCAACCTGCAAATGGTGGGCTGCAGCTTCTTGGGTATTGGGATTGGTATGTTGCTTGGGACGCTCTCGCAGCCCTATTGGAATAGGTTAGTCATTCCGCTTGGACACAGTAATCAGACCTTACAAGTATGTAGTATTTACAAACGCGAGACGCTCAAGCACGATGGTCATCCGCCACCCGAGATGCGCCTAATAGTAGGAATGCCGGGTGGCATTCTTGTCTCTGTCGGGCTTTTCTGGATCGCTTTCACTACATTCCGTGGCGTGCACTGGATCGTCCCGATGCTTGGGTCAATACCTTTCGGTACTGGGATCGTGTTTGTGTTCACCGCGACATTTACGTACCTCGTTACTGCGTATCGTCCGATCGCCGCCAGTGCTATGGCTGCAAACAGCGCCCTACGCAGTACCTTTGCAGCAGGCTTCCCATTATTTGCGGTGCAGATGTACAATCGTCTCGGAACAGTCGGTGCAACAGCTCTTCTTGCTGGACTGACAGCTATCATGGCTCCTTTACCGTGAGTGACGAGCGAATGACATCTGATTGATAATGGCTGAAAATAAAGTCCTTGCCACAGCTTCATTTTCTACAAATACGGTGCGCAAATTCGCGCACATTCAAAGTACGCGGTAGCATAGAAAAAATTGATGAATGAATCGATCAGTTGTCGTATCTTCTGCTCATTGATCGTTATCTCTTTTACAATGTTATTTGACATGCTCGATGTTTTGGGCTCATGAGTTACCAAATGGACCTTCAATGCGTTGTGGTGGATGAGCCGCTGCCGCAGTTGCGTTGGAGTGACGATATCCACCATCAACTACAATTTCTGCCAAACCAATCTTTAAATGATTGATGCTTTTCTCCCCGAGATGTACGTGGTTCCATCGAGAGGCTTGATGTCTTGTCTCGACCTCGAGGGAGAGAATCACGTAACGAAGAATCAATGTTGATCGAAGCCGATCCACACTCCAACCCAGAAAGACACAACGGACTGATAGATGTAGAATAGAAAGTTGCACAGCAACACTGATGTTCAGTTAGTCTACAATTATCAACTGAGACGCGGTCGCAAAAGATGAGTGTAATAAGAAGTACTACGGGAGGCATTCCGTGTCGTTTCCGAAGAGTGGATCAGATTGATAGCCAGCGTTGACTAATTGCTTTTGCGAGGGATGTCGCGCCCGTCGTAACATAAATTAGGCATAAGTTATACGCCGCTTCCCTCGAGACACCGATGAACTGCACCGTCATGAGCAAGTTTCGCTTTAACATTTTGAAACAGGCACGATACGCACGTCTGAATCCGAGAACTGGCGTTTTTCAACAATGTCAAGGACCCGTTCATAATGCTTGACAGTGTGCGATAGCAAGCCTATCCAGGGATCAGTAGCATCCAGAAAGCAAAGGACAAGTCAAAACGTTACCAATCTGTTGAAAAGCCCGACCGAAGTTGTATTCAATCTCGTCTGCGCGAGGGTCATCAACTGCTGGCCCCCGAAGCGTTCTGTATTTCGCCATAAATCCCATTGCCTGAATAGGACAGCGTGGTAAAGCTTGGCGAACAACTTTTCGAGCGGCGTGAACTAACCTGAGTGATTAGGAAGTTCCGGTTGTCGGACTGACGCTGCATAGCTCTCCCAAGAGAAGCCACCGCCAGAGTCATGCATATTAACGGATCATTCGGAAAATAGTCGTACGCATGCAGGAGATAAACTGAGAAACACGTGAAAGTTTGATCAAATAGCGGACAAATGAACAACTGACATAGTGCCGATTGGTAACTCTTCGCTATAATTAGACTTTGCCCATACAAGGTAGGCATCACAGGATTATTCTTCGTCGGTCTTGACGAACCTCCGTCGCTGATATCTTTCACTGAACGTTCGGGTTCATCTCCGCCATCGTCATCTTCAACCTCGTCAGGGTCCTTTTTTCCGGAGGCTGGAGTTGTAATCATGAAGCGTTGTGTCGTGGGAGTCCAGTGAGCATTTCCTTCCAATGCAGCGGCATGAATACGTATCTCGCGTAGGACGAACTTCTGAAAGCTAGTATTGACAATTTGATCCGCCGGAGATAGACCACTAGCAAGGGCCGCCAAGAACAACCGGACAATCTCATTGTTGAACTGGTACGTCAACATGAGCCTGCGGAATACTTGCAGGACGGTAGCGAACCTCCGAGCATGGAGAGCACATGCTATGCGTATACTTTCAGCTTAGTCATTAATTTATTGGCGCAAAATGGTTGCAACCCACTTGCAATAGTCAAGCGAAGAGTGTCCTGATACTTTTGTCCATTAAAGGCCGTCGACATCATCAAATGCCGGAGAACATCCTCTGCCGCGTCGATCTGTTGCCTCCGGGTCAAGAGGAAGGCGTACTGAAAAAAGGACAGTGTCAGCAAAACAAAAATTCAAATGCAGGACACCAACCTCCATAGCTAAAGTAAGCCACTCATCAAAATGAATACCGCGAAACTGGGTCGCTTCCGCCTTTCGTGACTGTGCCTTCCTCGCTTCCTTGTCATCCTTCTCGCGTTCTTCATGACATAGTTAGCTAGCGTAGCGGGCACGAAGCGAAAGATTCGCTGACCTATTTCTAATTCAAGGCGAGACGCCATCTTCTGTTCGTCGTCTTCCTCTCGTCCGAGTCGGTGTGCCTCTTTTGATGAGCGCACCACCCTTCGATAAGGTCTGGACTAATCATTACGTTAGCGCATTCAGTTATGGAATCTAAACACAACACGGTACCCACAGCTCTCGAGACGAAAAGATGTCGTGCTTCTCTAAACATTTCGAGCAATTTCTCAGCGTTTTCCAGCCATTTGCATTCCGCACTCTCCTCCCCGCTACGCATAGCGTCCCATAACTGCGTCACCCGCTCATACCACGTCTTTGCCTGTTGCTCGTTCTGGAGCTCGATCTCAAGAACTTGTTCACGCGTCAGAGTACTTCGCGGCTTCACAGAGCTTGTCAGCTTAGCCTTCCCTTTCTTCCGCTCCACAAATAGAGACGTCGCAGGACCAGCAGTGTCTTCACGTGGGACGCTGTCGTCTTTGGGAGGTCCAGAGCGTTTCTTGCGGGAATCGATAACTAGGCCTAGTCAGATCGCGATTGTCTCAACAAAATATGCGCATACCTTGATAAACAAGTTCGAGGGCTTTTCTCGGATGTCCACTATCTTCATATATTTCTGCAAGCTTCATTTTCGCTTGGTCGTTCAATGGGTCTGTAGCGATGACTGAAAAAGCCCATAAATCCTGCAGAAGTTCCGTAGTAAATAGACAGAGATACACGCACGATGCTCATATACTTCTATAGCATCGCTGATATCCCCTAAATTCCGCCTGCACTCTGCTGCCTGCATAAGAACATGTACGCTGCTCGTCTGACTCTAAGGTGAGATATGAACGTTATGCGAATGAACTTGTAATCACCGTCGCATCTGACCCCAGCATCTCATAAATCGGCCGCGCTTCAGAATACATAGCGAGTTCATAGTATGTCTCTGCAATCTCCGCGAACAGAGGCGCAAAATCCACAATACTCTCATCCAAAATAATACTTGTATGCATCTACAGCTCGCGTGTCATCAATTCCATTGAGAAAACGTCAACGGTGAAGAAATTTCTCACCCGTCCCTCTTCAATGTCACCTATTTTCAGTCTGGCAATTGCCAGACGATGCCTGGCGTTGATATCAAGGGGATGGAAGCCTTGCTTGATTGCTAAGTTGTCTTCACTACCTTCTCGCACAAACCCTTCCACGTCATATTCTCTGTCATCAGAGCATGTATCCCAGTATTTCTGCCTCGCACGCCCTTGTAACCAACGACACCCTGCACGGATTGCTTTAATAGATTTCTCGTACCACTCCAAAGTGTTGTACAGGTCCGCAAGAACAAGTATTTCCATCAAAGTAAACGCATCAGAGGAGGCTTGCGAATGGCCAACAAAGGCACCTCCACTCGCAGTGAGCGATGGATCAATGGCAATAGACGCCGGTTCTGGTACCTTACCGTCAGGGTAAATGGTTGTGAAGTGATCCAAAGCATCTTGGTAGAGTTGAGCACATAGCTTCAATTCACCTAGTTCAATCAGGATGTGTCGCAGCTCAGATAGAACGAAGGTATCATGAGGAAAACGCTTCAGAATAGCGAGGTACGAGATACGCGCAACAGGAAGGTTGCCGAGTTCCTTCGCAAGGGACGCTCTATCCCAGATTGCGTCGTAGTTAGTCGGATCGAGGCGTATGGCTTTTGCAAGACAATAAAGCGCTTGCTGTGCTTGGCCAGATTCCTGCGACTGACGCGCAAGCTGATGCCACTCTTCTGGATCGTGTCGTAGATGCGCACCAATTATCGAAAGTTGGAGAGCTTTTTCAGTCTCGTGTAATTCGCGGTAGCATGTTGCCAAGACACTCCAAGCAGAAGCAGCCCGTGGTTCAATCCTTATAACTTCGGTCATGATACGAATTGTTTCTTGCAAGTTCCCATCAACATAAGCGGCATTTCCTTCGCCAACGAGAGCGCGGACTTGATGAGAAAGAGCAGGACCTAACCGTCGACCTTTTCCCTACTCAAGATGTTAACTAGTGCTTTTGACAAGTGCCTGGAGCCAGGTACAGCAATACTCGCAATTCAGACAACCTAACAGTAGTTCCAGCTGTTGATACTTCAATGTCGTTTGAAGGGCGGCTGTACCTGGCTCCAGCAACGATTTGTATAACTCACACGTCCTTTGCCCTTCCTGACTCGACCAATCCCAGACGCAGCACGCAAATCAGCTTGGAAATCCTCTTCCACGTCCATTCCACTCGGCGCATCCCATATCCTTCTTATAGTTGCCGAGCTTGCCACATCGTCTGTATCCTGTATAAACCCTATGAGACGACTATGACATTACCATTAGTATCCGAAAGAACACGATTGACTCTCGACTCGAACGCACTCGAAGTCACCTTCAATCTGGTTCTCAATACTACCACCGCCTTCATCTACATCGCGCGCATTGGTACCACCATTTTCTAAGCTTTCCAGGCTCTCCTCAGAACTATCTGACAAGGACTCTGAGCCCGACGATCCACTTTCAGCAGCATAGTCTAACTTCCTATCAATTTACTGTTACTTTTGTGCAAGACAAAGACGAACAGATACCTTGTTCATCTTCAGTATACATGCGAGCAATACAATAAAAGTCGAGTGATTACAGAAAAGTAAAAACGTGCAACGGATTAGAGCTGGTGTTCTTGTAAGATGTAAGTAGAAGTTTCAAATCGTCACTGCTGTGATTCAATTTCAAAATTAGAACAGCACTAGTGCACGTGAGTTTCTCAGTCACATAAATACCCACAGCTATAGTTGCTGATGTCCGGTCCCGGACCGCTCGGACTCGGTCCGGACGCAGGACTGGACTGATGGACCGGTCCTCTACAGTCCGGTCCTCATGGGTCCAGGAGAGGTCCGGTCCTGGGTCCATCATTTTGAGAAATTTCCCGGACTGATGGACTCGTCCGGACCCGGACTGGACTCCGGACCTGAATAACCTGAACTAATGTCTCAAATCTCGTTTCCCATATCTCTAGCTCACTATACTAAAACAGATCATACTCCTTTAAGGATCTTTGAATATTAGCTAGCACTTGCATAGTACATTTTACAAGTTTCTGGCAGTCCAAGCAAAGCAAAACTTTACTCCTGTTCTTTACTGTTCAATGTATGGCTTACTAAACTTGACTCTTCCTATCTGGTTATTGTCTCCTGAAATATTTATTCCCTTTATGTATATTCACTCCTCTCCTGTCCTATGCCAAAGACACTACAGTCCCAGCCACCCTCCCCAGTCAAGC